ACTGGTGTAGATTTCGAGTGGAAGTAGATCTTGCATTCTGGCGATTACAGTAGGATTAGGGTAATGACGGCGATAGCACCCACGGTAACTAGTGATACTTATGGCATAAAAGGCCACAAGTGTGTTTCAGCGCACTAAATAGATTTGGAAAATTTTTCAGGGTTTCTAGAAGTAGTAGTAGCTAAGCAAGTAATTTAAACATTACCACCATCTTACCTACGATAACCGCCACAGCTTAGAATTTCGAAATAAAACTAGTAGCGGTAGTTCATTACTCTAGCGAATTCATTGAAAATTTTGCGCGACACATAAATCTACACAATGAAGAAGGTTTGAGTCGTTTTCGAGTGTAAAGTTAAGTTCAAGCTCTGCTTTTATTCTGCATCGGGCCTAGAATATACATTAGAAAAAAGCATTTAATGATCAATGAGTGGGAATATTTTGGGAACATTTCGCAGTTTAAGAGCAGGTAAATAACAAAGCCCTTGGCGAATGCATAACAATAGAATTGACCACATAACACACCAGAATCATGTGAACATCAACGTCTGTGTCTGGAAAACTTTTTTCCCACAAGAGCCTTGTTTACATCAGGTCTCATCAAAACAATATCCCAACAAGCGTGACCTTCCAAAACTCGATTTACACAGACTGAATGGCAAAACCGGGTTGACAATTGCGATTTGTTGAAAAGCTGTTGGTTAGACAAACACCTTTAGATGATTCATCGGACGACTGGGTTCTTTTTTCTCAGGTGGTCCTTTGCTGAAATGTCGTCGTAGGCGCAGTTGATGGACGTATCAACACGTAGCGTAAAGCGTTGATGCGCTAATGGCCTCACTAGAAATTTGCACTTTGTGATTTGCAATATCAGTAGCAAACAATCTGCGAGGATATAAGTCTGCCGGCACGTTGTCTTTACAGCACTTCATTCGTACTTGCCTCTCGCACTTGTGGGGCCTCCTGAGGACTGCGAAAACATTTCCATAAAGTTCACGGAAACACACTTCTTACCCAATTTCTTGCGCTTTCTCCAATCTTGGTCGGTTTCTACTGTTCTCTGCTTTTGTCCATCTAACAATGCACTTTTCGCTACTGACTCACTGTTGACTTTCTATAGCCTACTCTCATCGATATTTAACGCTACTACAGGCTCATGTCATACCTTATCTTCGCTTTCGTACTCCTCTATGCCGTTGCTTTCACAAACAGCCAAATCATGGCCGGAGGAAGAATGGATCAAAACCCTAATGATCCAGAGTATATGGTAAGTCTGATTTTATCTTTTTTATAAAAAGACACTTTTCTTTGGCTCGTGACCTGCAATTTATGAAAAATTCAAAAGTTTAGGAGAAGGCGTGGAAAGCTGCAAAAACGCTAAACGAGGATTCTGCTGCAAATTCTGGTCCTTACGTCATGAGGCCCATCAAGGTTAGTGTCGAATGCCGAAATCTCAATATTGGAATTTTGAGAAAATATGGCCGATAGTCT